GTAGACGGAGTTGATACTCTCACTTGAGTTCGTTGTGGCAATACCCCACCTGGTACCTCCGTCCTTATGAAAATTCCACATGATTAGGTCATGTCCATTGAGCCACTCCGCACCTTTAGGGCATAGCTCACGGATCTTCTACAGCTTCTCCTTGAACTTCTTCTCTTGGTACGCAATAGCTGAGGAATAAATACAAGTACACTCGTTAGACTCTTAGGAGAGGTATACATCTCCTTAGAAACACATCCTTTTGAGAGAAAAAGGGGGGATCCGAGGATCGCTTAAAACCCAATTTTCACAGGAAATGGGAGGATCATGATGGTCGCTTAAAGTCCCATTTTCTTAGACATGCATCTCTTTATAAAGAGTATAAGTAAGTGTTGCATTGTATTTCGTAGAAACTTTTGGAAATCACCAATATGATTTAACAGTTAACAAAATCAGCTCACCAACGAAATAAAACGCTTATCGGTCCATCATAGATTATCAGCAAGCTTCCTCTGCTTGAAATGATGGTTCCAATTGCTTTTGAAGTGTCGTATGCACCACCTTAGGGACAACTTTTTGGGATGGATCCAAGCCTAAAAAGGCAGCTATAATCCCGGTGTGGCGATCAGAGATGATTGTCAGGTTCATCCTCCTGGTGACGTGGAGGTGAATTTGTCTGAAGATCCATCCATAGACTTTGACATTCTCTCCCTCAACAATGGCGAAGGCTAAAGGAAAGACACTTATGTTTACATCCGCTCCACTACAATCAGGAAAGTGCCCTTGCACTTGTCGGTAAGGAATGTTCCATCCACTTGCATCACAAGGACATAGAAGGGGGGAAATCAATAGATGGTTTGAATGACTAGAAAAGATGTTTGAAATGGTGTTTTTTACCAGGCTCCGGCGGCTGGATTTCTTCGTCTTGGTAGCGTGGGGAGAAAACAGTGTCAGGGTTAGACACCTCCAATGCCAAAATCAATCTTGGAAGGAATGCATATGATTCTTCCCAGTCACCAAACACGGAGGTCATGGATTTATGCTTTCCATGCCACGCCTTCGTATAGTTAATAATATATCCATAACGACTAGAAATATCGGCATTGATGGTTTTCACATTCAGGTCAGGCTGTTGCTCAATTAGATGCTTGAAAGCCGCGACAACCACCCTGGATTTTAACTATCGATGCCCTTGTGATTTTGTGGATGACACACATGTGTGAGTGTTCACCGCATTGGATATGACCCAATGGCCGACTCTCTTGCTCTTGATGGCCCAGACCCTAGCCTTGCATCCCTCGTGTTGATTTTGCCATCTAACAATGAGCCTCTTCGTGTCTAAATGACTTGTGCGCCATTCAAACTCCGAGTCATCACTTCAGTGTCAACAGCGTCGCACCTCCTTCTTCGTACCAAATAGTTGGCCATTCGTAAACCATGTGAGTGGACCGCATACTGGCTCCTCTGGCGGCTTTATGTCGACATCAATATCCAATTTTCATTTGGAATGTGATTTTCTAAGGGATAGGTACACGGTCAGGAGACACCTCATCATCATCTGAGTTTTAATCTGAGCCTGAATCATCAGCACCTTTAAGAGGGTCGAAGCTGTCTACAGTAATGACATCGCCTTCCTCTTCTTCATCCTCGGGGTCACTAATTGGACCTGGCAGGGTATCTTTCATCTGATTTGGATGATGAAAGGCACATTCATCAGCTCCGTAACGACAGTTGTGATAACTACCGCTACCTGCATGCAAGTTGTACTCGGGTTGGTACTGATTGCTTTCTTGTTGGTTTTCATTGTACTGTTGGGCTTCTTCTTCATATAATGGGAAGGATTGATGATGACCTCCACCTCCTTCTTGGTACTCATGGTAGGAATGAGGATCATGGTAACCTTGGTAGGGACGATCTTCATGTAATCCACATCCATCGTGCATACCAGATGTTTGACCATCTCCAGAATGAAATCCACCGCCTTCGACCGCCTCGGTGTAAACAAACATCTCTGCTTTTGAAATGTTATTGGAGATCAAAAATTCAACCATGGCATCTACTTGCTCCTGTGCGGTTATGAGGAATTCCTCATGCCACAACTACCCGCTTTGTCTGTTTGGATGTCTATACACCATACGATCAACCCTCATCGTGCCATCCATCCAAGATTCTGTCTCGTAGCGACCTTCACTTTATGAAAATTACCACCGACATAACGTACCCCCTTTCCGGTCTCTTCCGTATCACCATTCCACCGTAGCCCAAGTGTGGACTTTTAGAATACCATATGAAATAAAACAGTAACTAACCATAAAATTTGCCAGCGTTAATTGCAAAACAAACTTACAATAAAAAGTAATACAAAACAAACTTACTATGTAACGTTAATCGCTAAAACTCAAAGCACAAATCGCTAACAGAAACTTAAAGATGAATAGGAAGAGGGGTGAAGTGTTGAGGTTTCCGGGGTTGTCTTTATTAGGCAAAATGTCAAGTTAACCCCCCTCACCAGCAGTTTGCACTAGACATGCAACCCTACGTCTGTCACCCCCCTGCATGGCGACATGTTGGCTGTTGGGGGAAACACACAAACCGCCCCTCTCAAATGGTTTGTGTGTCAACAACTGAAACCGCTTGTTGAATGAGCGGTTTCTATTTTCGACCTAGAACCGCCTAGTCAACATAAGGTTCGTTCATTAAACCACCTCAGTGGGGTTGTTTGTGCCGATAATGCAAACCGCCACTTCACCATGTGGTTCTATAACAAACCGCATCCCATGTGGCGGTTTTCAAGAAACGGTAATATTTTTGGAATTTTATAGTTTGAGGGTGGTATTTGTGAAAATAAATCTATATAAAGACAAGAAAATATAAAATTATTCATAATCTATCTCTACCAATTACTATAATGAATACGGATGATCCTCACCCAAGTTTCGAGCTAAATAATTTATGATCCTTGATTATTTGATCAAGTGGGAAAAGGAAGAAAAAAAGCCAAATTGTTTCAAACCCAAATTACACCTCAGTCTGCCCTCATAAAAAACAAATTACACATTAGTCGGTGCCTTGTTGCACCTAAATTACCAGCTAGTTCCTAATTGACTTTTGTCAATCCAGAGGTTTCTTCTTACCATCACAACCTACGTAAATTTAATTGGAGCAATTTTCTTGTTGGTATTATTGTCAAACGTCTCATTTTCTCCCATTCATTTGAAGGCGGTCGTACTAAACATGTATAAAATCTATATAACACATTTAACATATGTATTTAATGAATTACATTATTAACTTAATTATTATTTATATGTTAATTTAGTTTAAAATAATTAATTTATATATTTTATAACTATTGAAAGTGTATGAACTATGAAGTGAACAAATTTCCTAAAAAAACTATGAAGTGAAAAAAAGATTCTTAAAAAAGGAGTAAAAAATAAAACAAAGTTTATGCTACGTACTGCCATTTAAACTGGAGAAGGTTTCCGTGAAATGGGGGTTGCTAATTGTCGCCCTAAGTTTTCTATAATCGCCCTAACTTAAAAATTAAAATTACCTCATTATCCTTTTCTTTTTATTGTTGAAATACATTTATGTCAACAAACACAATTCATTCAACGGCAGAAAAATTTGGATTTTATGGAATCAGATGAAGTGGCCGTGAATGGTATTAGATTGGGAATTAAGCTTGGATTTGACTGGATCAGAATAAGTTTCCCTGATTGATATTGGGTTGGGAAATGTAACAAACATGATGAAAATAAAATAAAGAGTGGTTAAACGAGTGGATTAAGAACAAGTACTAGTTTTTTTTGATAAGGGTGAAAAATGCATTAATGGAAAGCCAAAAAGGAATCAGTCCGAACTACAAAAGGAAAAGGAGCGGCACCAGAGGTGCAACAACCCAAAAACAAACGCAAAGGAAACCAAAAAAAAGTTCAAAAGAACAACAGAGCAAGAAAAACTCCGGCCCTCCAGAACCAAGGCCAAACGAACGGTCAGAACCGAAACTGAAACACCCCCATCAAACCAGAACCAGTACTAGTTAGTGCGATAAGTAAATAAGAGGGGAGAACGAAATCTCGATTGAGAATAGAGAGTGGAAAAGTGGAAGACAAAATTGGGATTTGGATTGGTGTGCAACGAGGAGAGGAAATGAAGTGTCGCTGCGGTTTGCAGCAGGGCCGGCCGTCGAGGACAAAGGATATCGGAGCCTTGGGCTGAAGTCATTCCTGGAGACTCGTGCCTTCCTCTCCCAGAGTCGTTTCGAGCGCTCTCGGTCCGCGATGGAGGAACATCTGAGGTGGTTTGGAGGCACAGGAGGATTAGGGACTTTTGTTTTATTCATTAAAGCTTATTCTGGTAATTTTACGTTTTAAGTTAGGGCGATAAAAATAAAACTAGGGCGAGATTTAGCCATTCATCCGTGAAATTCCGTTGCCCTCAATCCCTTTTGAGGTTTTTTTGTTATGGTAAAGTGTTAATTAAATGACAATTTATTAACTAAAAAAATGGACCAATCCTAATCTGCCATGTAAGCAGGTTGGACGCAATGGGTGCAAGCTAGGTTGGAGCTAAAAATTGCTCATTTAATTGTGTTTTCCATTATAATTAAAACAGGAAAAAACAATTAGATCTCCCAGTCCCAGTCACTGATTAAGTAAAGTCCAAATAAATATTCATGATTCATTAACAATTAAACTAAACTGCAGTATCAATCAGATTCGAATTCGATCGTACATATATTGCCTGCCCCCGCTAGCTATTCACAAATCACAAGGATATATGGCGCCCGTGACCTCTCATCATTCCTCATCTCCCCCATTTACGCAGCTAGCTAATCACCATTATTGCACACTAATTAAAGTCAATCAACTTGCAACTTGATCAACAGATTAATACATTACCGCGGGCCAAAACTCTATCAATCAATTAATTAATTAATTAAGATTTAAAAATAATTTATAACAAAAAAAAAAAACCACCCGAAGAAAGGTATAATATTTAATAATTCATGAGAACATTTGATCGAGCAGCAGAACCAGAGCCATGGCGAGCCCGGAATCGAACCCAGACCGTACAGACAGAACGAAAACCTCAGCCCCAAGCGAAACCCCTCCCACCGCCGCCTCCTTGGGCCGTATCTCCGCCACTTCCTTCCTCGATTCCTGCTCCACCACCTTGCACGACCGCTGCCCGTACGACCCTTGGATCGCGTACCACCAATTCCTCTTCCCCGAACTCCCTTTGTACACGTAAGCCACAACGTTACTACTGCTACTGCTGTTCGCCGCCGCCGCCAGCAGGAGGCTCTTCTGCTTCTTCACGCACCACATCGGCTTCTTCGGCACGAATTTCACCGCCGGATTGTGCCCCGCCACCACCGCCGCCTCCGCGTCCCCCTCGTATACCAGCCAGCTGTCCACTAGCCCAAACTTCTGAAAATAATAATTCATCAACGTATATTAGTCCAATTTATCGTATCTAGCTACAATGAGTCAGAAATTAATAACCCAAGCCCTATTAATATATAGCTGGGTTAATAGGACAACTACCGGTATCGTTGTACCAGAACGATGTCGTACGTACGTAGTTATTCCATTAACCGCCGTTGTTTTTATGTCTTATCTGGGCAACTTTGTCAATCCTAGAAAAATTCACGGTAAGAATATTTTTACTACCGATTCTGTAATTTTCTTGACGTGCCGTTGTGAAACCTATTTAAATCGTTGAGCTCGTGAACCAAATGATTTGAAATTTATTGGTCGGATCATAGTGTAAGTCGTTTTATACGTAATATAAACATATATAACGTATATATAATTTTTAAAGCTGTGTACGTATGTTTCATTAATATAGTTTGGGAGAGGGCTAAAACACATGATTAAGTCTAGAAGTCAGAAACGCTCAATTCGGTAAGACCACTGATTTTTGGGCATTTTTTTACCGACTTTGATCGGTTATTGCGGTTTGCAGGCAAAACAACTTCAACTTTTTATTTATATAAGGGTTATATAGATTTACATTTTTTGTGACTTATACTGTACTACTTAAAGGGTTTGAGCTAGTGATATTGTGACCAAATGAAGTGCAAAACGACTTTTTAGTGGATGATTTGAGTACCGTCTCTGGTCGGCCTTAGTTCAACGTAACCAGCCGGCTGGATAACGTACGGTTTGACAACCATGCTCTCAAAAGAAAAGGGGAAGAAAAACAGGGAAAGGAAAAAGGTGAATAAATGATGACTGTTGTACGTACCTTAGTGTGATGAAGCATTGTGAGGACAGACCTGCCGGCGGCGTCCATGAGAGTGAGCTCGTCGGGTCGGCCGCAGTAATTATCGACACGGTAGACCAGATCGCCGTCGGAATTTATGACCGTGAAGCCATGGCAGTTCATTACAAGTGATTTTCTCCACACTGTCAACGACGTCGACCACCCTCCTCCTCCTCCATCTCCTCCGCCGCCGTCGTCTGTAGAAGAGCTGCTCGTGCTCTCTGGTGGCGGCGACGGCGCCGGCGAAGGCTCCTCCCCTGTCTCCCGATCCACCGCTAACTTGTCCTTCTCCCGATTAGCCGCTTCCTGCTCATCGAACTCTTCGTCGTAGACGGTCTTGGACCAGGATTTCAAATTGAATAGCATATTTGATCTGTTCAGCCGACGATCTGGAGTGAGAAAGAGAGGAAAAAGACGGAGAGAGAGAGAGAGGTCGGCGGAGGGATTTCGGCTGCCGTGTGAATTTTTTCCCTCTGAATCCAAAGGGACGGCGAATGGGGATTTTATAGGCGGAATTTTTTTTTTTTTTTTGTTGGGGGCCAGAAAAATGGTCGTCAAAGGACAAAGTTGCAAGTTGCCGTGCTAGGACGGCTGGTGAGGTGGGTGGCCCTTTCTCTAGGTTTATATTTTCCCTTCTTTTAAAATTTAATTTTCCTTTCTTTTGCTGGTTTGCTAGGAGACAATAAGATATACATGGCGCGTGTGCTTCATTTGCTTATATTTGTTTCCTGGCATACTGCTCATATGCGACCCAAAAACTCCTAAAGCCTAGTAAACCGTTATCCCGTTAACGGTGTACCCGATATTCGAATCGAATTTGGTGGTTAACGATTATACCGATAATCGATTAAAGATAAACGGTCGGTTCCTGGTAGCCAAATTTGACTAATAACTAACCGATGATTAAATGGTTAATAACCGACGGTTAAACTATTAACCGACTAACCGATTATGACTATCTTCATAGTTAAAGTAAAAAATAAAAGACCTCCATGAGTTGCAAACATAGGCCAAAAATAATGAGGCCTTTGAAGGCTTACAATACCCCTTGTCTATCTTAGTTGTAATAGTGACTTGGATTCAAATGAGAATAATGTAAAGGAAGGATTTTAGAATGAACACAGTAGAAAAGTCAGACTTGCGCATAGTTGCTCGACAACAATTAGTAACATTTAGCTTTCTCCATGTAATTTGATGATGTTTACGAGTTGAGTATCGATGTATGCTTCTTTAATAAAGTTTGACGATAGAATGGTAGTATTTTGTAATTGTGTTTGATTGAGTTGATTGTGTATTGATATATATATATATATATATATATATATATATAGGTTAAGTTAATTTTTGTTCAATGATAACAACTTAAGAAAAAGAACACACGCGTATGTATGAAAAATTATATAAAATTTCACAATTGAAAGAAGTAGGCCTTATGTTGGTTAGGTTATCAATCGGTTCTTTTGTTATAACCTTTCTGAATCACTTGGTTAACGGTTATTCGGTTAACCAGCAAAATAACCGAGAACCGTCTATATTGTTACGGTTAACAGACTAATCTAAACGGTGCGATTAACAGTAAGCATAAAGTGCTTACGGTTAACTGCGAACCAACTTAACGATTCCGGTTATAATCAAACCGAACCGATTCTCAGTCCTTACTTTGTATTCCAAATGCTAATGAATAATTACAATTCTCTTTTCATTTTATATTATCATGGCAATCAGGCCAATTCATGGGATTATTTTTCGAATTAGTATACATGAACATGCATTGATAGAGTAATTAGTTTGGCTTTATTATTTTTGTTTTTATATAAGTCTCAAAAAAATTATTTATAACTGGTATACACTACAAAGCCTTCGATATGCATGCACTAAGCTAGTAAGCTTTTGGTATGTACTGAGTTTGAAGGAAGTGTATTTTATTGTGACGTGTTTTTTTATAGATGGCTGTTGATCTCACAAATGAAAATCCGAGATTACAAAATGCATGAGGTATAAGATGCTTATATAAAGAAAGGTCAGATAGTACGGTTGCACACATTCACAAAAATAGTATGCATTAAAAATGTTACCAATATGTGTTGACGAACTTACGTTGAACAAGTTTTGGGATACACGGAACAAAACACAAATAAACACGCGACACAAGCCCGCTTAAGATAAGAAATAAGAATCAAATGAAGCTAAACCGGTGGCAACCAATATAATCCTTGTTGTGCTGATCAATCCAATTCATTCTCAGCTCTCTAGCCAGACGATTCTAGTACTCTTGCAACCTTCTTCGTGCTATCACTCATAGAACTGTTTCGTTTTGTATCTTCTAGGAAAAAATGGCTTGGTCATTCCAATTCTAAATTTATTTCTCATATACCTAGGTTCTTGTTTTTTTTTTATTTATTTAATTTTAATATTGGATACATATATGGTGGCGTATTCCGGGCACCCACTTTTTTGAATGCATTCAATACACTCGTCTCATAATCGTCATTTCAAGCATGTGATTCATGTCAAAACGATATCAATCGTCGCTTATGATGTTATTAACAAGAAACACAAGAATTTGAAAAAAACTCATTCAAGATTTATTTTAATTTGCAGGATTTAGGATTTGGGGATTTAGGGTTAGGATTTAGGTTTATAATTTAGGGTTTTGTGCTTGGATTCAAAAGTAAAGGTTAAGGGGTCAGGGTAATAGATTGATTAGTTGTGATTTTATATCATATGATCATATTAGATTAATACTATCAATTAAAGTTCAAAATTCTATGTTTTATTGCCACTTTTAAAAATGCACCCAAAAAATTGATTACATCAAATTATCCATCATATATATCTTAAAAAATAACATTTGAGACTCGAATGAGAGACTGGACAAATTAGTTAAGTCGCCATAGATACCATGACAAGTTATAAATATGAGGTCGAGAAATCCTGAAGAGCCCACTAAGAAAGAACATCATGTTTTGTTGATTACTTGGTTTCTGTCGCACAGAATAGATTCAATCAAATGTAACCACGTAATCACTTTTGATGTTAATTATGTCAAACAACTTAGACTAATCATACGTTAATTAGGTTTGGACTAAATTTGTTTTGGATGTAAATAAACTAACAAAAAGCCGGCTTAATTAATTGTTCTTCTCTTGTGGATGTGGTGCGTGTTCCGTATATTGCCCCCTTTTTTTGGTACACAATTTTTATGGGTTTTCGTGTGCCAAACGATTATTTCGAAGACATTCCATTTCCCCGGCTTGCTGTCAGCTACATTTCAAGTTCCCGCCCGAAGATTTGGCATATAATTTCAACATACATTAGAGCGGCAAGACAAAAAAAAATTCCAAAGACCTTCCAGAGTGAATTACATTTCATAGGAGTAGGTTTGACATTTGCCAAAGAATAATTGAATTTTCCGCCAACATTTCTTCAAAATTTCCGGAATAGCTGTGCGTGTGTAATGTAAATTGTAATGGCATTCATTAACATTAATAAAGAAGACTAGTTAAAAGGATCTTATGCACTTCTGCCATTGTGGCAGAGACTAAGACTCTTCTATTAACATGAGAAGTTCGTTTACTTGAGTCGTTTGAATGTGTTATTTAATCAAATGATATAATTGAGTTTTAGTACTAAATGACTCGTTTGCTGGGAAAAACCAACATGAATTATTGGCTCAATGAAAGTCTCAAATGACTCATTATTTTAGCTCAATCTTTTCAATTATATCATTGACACTTTTTCATAAACTTACTTTAATCTTGTCTTTCCATTACTTATTTCTCTATCATTCTTTCGTGTATCACCAAATTTATTTTCATTCCGCCAAATTTCTTAAGCGGCGAGGAGGGCCATACATCTTATCGTCTCCATCATTTTCTCATGACTCTAGCTTCCCGTGTCATCGGAGCTGCCGCCTTCAAGAGTGAGTCGTAATTAACTCGAATGTGAGACTTCTTGAGTCGTTACCTTTTACAAAAATATTTAACATAATTTTTTTTTTAAAATTAGAAAGTATTATACATGATCGTAATCATATGTTTTGTTGGTTGCAAAATGATTCGATTACCTGGTCGGGTTTATGAGAATAAGAAAACAAGATAACGAAATGTTAAATATAAGGGCAACTAGTAACATTATACAAATGACACATTTATTAATGATTCATCAAAAAACTGTTAAACGAAAAATACATTTGCAAATGTTCACATTAGCAAATGTCTACATTTGTAAAATATCTACATTTGTCAAATGTCTACGTTTGAGCAAATGACTCATTTATTGTCCATTCCGACAACATCAACGTATCTTTCATTCCTAGACGGTTCAAAACTCAAGCAGATTAGGCGGCAAGAGAAATGGACAGAAGAAACCTCCACCTCAATTGAATTCAGATTCTCAATATCGTCACACCAAATGATATGAAAAGGCGCCACTGTCAATTAACTTCCTATCATCGATTGATAAATAAAATGGATATGCATGTAAGGTGGCTATATACACTTTTTGACAATTCGGCTTATCTGATATGTTCGATAGTAATTGATGAATTAATCCAGCAACTAGCAATTCTATGCTATACCGTAATATATAGCAACGGTGCTTAATTACTTGTGGTGGCAATGGTGGAAAATTTGAATAACATCTAGAGATTTATGGTTCAAATCTTAGTTTTGGCATGCTCATATTATTTTAGTCGTACTGCTTTGAGTTTCGATAGGTTCGTAACTTTCAGGATCTGATGATAGCGGGAGTGCAAAGCGTATGAACAAATTTTTGAGATTGAGATGTTTTTGCTCTGAATACACCAGGGGTATTAGATTGAGATTTATATTTTAAGGAACTGAAAAACAGATAAATAAATGATAAAGAGAGTAAAAAATTCCTTACAAAAAAGAAAATAAGTTACTTGCCCAACTTAAGAACAATGTTCAAACTTGTAACGTGATTAGTTGGCCTACTCCTGCATGCCTTCCAACTTCCCTTCTACTTGAGAATCAGAAGCTAAGGGTTTTTTTCTCTTGTTTAGCGATGGTTAAGGGCGACAGAAACCTTAGGGTTTTCAGAGTTTTTTTTCTTGGGATTTTGGTGAAGAAGAGTTTGGAGGCCGATTACTCTTTGGATTAGGAGTACTTTTGACGAAGGTTTTACTTTTCAAGCGGTCCTGGCACATATATTTAGAGTCGTGAAGCTCTGTGTTCCTTAGGCTACTTCGAAGTATTATTAGGTTTTCTTGGTTGAGCTATATTTTCCTATAGAGCTAGTCTCGTTGAGGTGTATACAAAACCAAGAGGACAAATACAACATGGAGGAGGTGGAAAAGATGATGGAAGATACAACAACGAGTAAAGAAATGCAACAACAGAAGG